TTTCATACCAATCCATTTAAAATTGGTTAGTAATCTACCAAGGTCACACTATAATAGATCAATCATCAGCAACTACTATTCACCATTGCCATCGATCACAGTAAGGCTAGTGTCTGTCAATATCAAACTGTATAACAGTGAGGGAAAACCCGCCGTTCCTATGCTCCCTTCTGCTATACAATTAAGGATGTACCGATTTCACATGTGTGTCCTTGTATTCGCTTTTATCTCGGAAGTTTGACATGTACAAAGTTCTTTCTTCCGAATTTAACATGGAAATGTATACCGTACGCCTTTGAGGCGTTCTTAGCACCACCCTGAATTTAGATGGATACAAAATCTTAAGTTATAAGGTAGCTATCAAAGCAAGCTATGACATGGCCTTCATGACTTCACGGCAATTGTGACGTCATCACAATCAAAAGACTCCTTGATAGAGATGATTTACTCCTTGTTTCACAATCGAAACGGCTTTCTTAACGGTAGTTAATGTTTGAGACTCTTTCATATTCTGCTCAAAGGTATACACTGCAATTCGATAGCCAAGAATTAGATATGGATTTGTATATATTCATTCAGGCATATTTAAATTTCATAAACCTTAACGGCGATATTCAGTCTTTCACAATGTACATGCATTGTATTGATCATATACACATGGACACGTGGATATTGTTATAATGGTAGGGAAAATGTCAACGGTTTCCATACGGTACACGTAGCTTTATTATCGTATTTGGCTTTGTAAAAAATAATCAAAGTTATATATCGATTTAAAGATATATTATGAATAGCTGCAAATATAATGCCGAAAACGTCTACTTTACACTGCAGCCATATGGTTTCGGTAAGTAGTATTCCTATGTCAATATAACGTTTCTGAATAGGATTAGCCAGCTCAGAACTCTTTAAAGTATGTCTGACCTTGTAACATTAGATTTCTTTAAAGTAGGTACACGCTCTTACAACAGTGACGTAGCATATAGAACATGATCAAATCACAAGTCAAACCCAGAAATCCTATTTATTTTGGTAAATTTGTTATCCATGATACATACAGAATTAGGAAAAGACACCTCTGTTTAAATAAAGTCCAATATCATAGGAACCCACCGGGGCAGAAATTAAAACAAAGCCCTAATAGTTCTACAGAAATGCTTTAAAACAAATAGGAATCGTCACCAATAGTCACCTGGCCCGTTCCAGCTTTATTTAATCTACCATCGATTACTTTCTATTGACGATCGGCATTGGTACATGTATGCGAAAACCCACAAATCATTCGGGTAAAAAAATCGATCATGCAGATAGTATTTCTTTTGTTCTGTTTAAATAGTCAGCTCAGCATATACGTGTGAACACTGTGTTAAATATCAGCACATGGCTATTTAACTTTAACTTGATTGTAATTACAATGTTCTAGCACCAATCTTATATTAAGAGTATAGGTAGAATATGTATATGATTACAAGACATATCTGAAATACCGCATACATATTCTGTGTAGTGGCTTTTCTTCACACTAGGCTTTCAATGCGATTTACACACAGCTAAATCAATACATGTCAACTGCTTTATTTTAACGGGAATTGTGTTTACCTGAGAATATTGATTACTGAAGAGAATGGAAACATTGCTTGAGTTATAAAATCTATATTCACAATATCTATTGCATAAAGAAATAATGTTACCAAGAACATTACTCAAATTTGACTTACATGTCATATTCAACTGCTTATTTAATAACTGTTCCGTAATCTAGTTGTTTTAAAAAGGATTTAAATTGTTGTGCTAGTTATACGTACCTTCCCATGTCTGTGACTGACACTCTTCGTCACAACACAGCATCGTACCAAATCCACCCGCTGGCACTTCACTGCATATCTGACGTTGCAAACTCCTTCGTTAATTATGAAAACTGCGTAGATATACAAGCCAGCCTTTGTCTCTGATCTGGGTAGACACATATGTGTACCCGTGTATTGTCGGGTATGTATACTTCTAGGTACGACATGGCTTACTGCTAACAGATAAAGGATTTCTCTATAGATCAATACCGGTATGTGTGTGTGTATATATATAACATCATATCTATTTATACACCTGTATGTTTTGCACCTGAGGTTTCCCAACACTATGACGTATCACCTCCTGGAGTTCCCTTTGTGCGATAAGTCAAGAGGGTACAAGTTCCCGTCTTTGTCCTCGGCAGGTCAAACTATATTGTGTATTGCCAATAATCCGATGTACATATATGGGAAACATGTACTTATTAGTGTATGACTATACAGGCCCTCGACAACTACTAATACGATTGCTCTAATTAAACGTGTATAATTACTTGTACATCTCGTGCTCTGCTATCAAATCATTTTTCCTTTCTGTAATACCTGGATTAATATTCCAATTTCTTGTTGTTAAAATTTAAGGGACTAACCCGATATATCCAGATATTATAAAAGCGTGATTTAGCAAGATCTTAAAAATCATACATAAAAAATATTTTTGGCTACATGCTATTAAGATTATTTCAGTTTCGTAAACTCTTCAATGTAGATCAAACTATAAGCTAAGATGTTTTAAACACACTTACAGACATAAATATATGCCATATGTTTGTGGCTTGAGAGTGAGTTCACACAAAGGAATCATAAACACACAGTCAACGACCTATAGCTATTTAACGTGTTGCTTCCATTGTGTAAACAAATACAGAATTACACCTGATTAAATAGATGGTTAGGACGAGGTTCACCTCTACCTGTCCGCTGTTGTTGGCTGAACTAATGATACCATGCCTGCTACTTCCGCACGATGACGATCCCAGTTTGGAATTAGTCATCAAAAGCTGTCAGTTGTAAGTAAAATAATGTCCCTAGATCACGTAATCAATGTAATTTGATATTTGCTGAAGTAATTAATTCATAAGAAAAGAGAATGATAGAAACACAGATATAGTCTAGAGAACGATGGTAACGTATTTCACAGGTATATATAATATCCATATTTCCATGTAACGTATTGTCCTCTCAGGGAACATTTCAGTATTCCGAGAACCGTTAAGTACCAGTCAGTCTAAGAATCCTGCTGAGGGTGATCCATGATATGTCACGGAATTATATTTTTGTAAGTTTTTATGGATACATAATAATTTGGTATTTAAAAAAAAAAAGAATTTAATGGAATTTAGATTTACATGATACTTTGGCGGAAAATAACTCCCCCCCCCCCAAAAAAAAAAAAAAAACAACAAACAAACAAACAAAACAAAACAAACAAACCAAATTTTTGATATGAATATTCACGTAGGGTAATGAATTTGTGAAATATTTTATTATTCTTAATTTAGCTATTTTATTATCTGTTATCAAATTTTGAAAAAAAAGAAAGAAAGTTTTTTTCCTAGTTAAACAGTTATTTTAATCTTCGCGCTGCCAGCTTTTATAAACGAAATGTATTCGTAAGGATTTGCTCTGTTTTTTCCTTTATACAAACTGACCTTAGGACAGATTTGTAGACACCACCACTTTGAATTTATAAACACGTTTTTCTTTAAAATCAACAATCAGTCGATAAAATAGACCAGGACAACACTTGAGTTATATAGTTATTACGAAGGTTGTCCCGGAAATCACTATTCACCCTGTTATATATGCACATCGGATGTATCAGACTAATTTCCCTTCATTTCCCAGAGCATCCATAGCCACGATAGCTTACGTCACTTTTATTTCAAGACACATACGTCGTAATTTTGCTAATAAGGCTAATAAAATGATTTAGAAACAAACAAAAAAGCTTTGATTGTCCTTCACTGAACAATAAATCAATTTAGAAGCAGCATATACGACCTTTTAACATTGCAGTCTCAGTTGGTTTAGAACTATTATCGTGTTGAATTGCTCTTTTGTTTTCATTTCTGCTGTGTATTGATCCGCAGCTTGATGTTGATGCACAGCGGTATGACTCGTTACCTGTTAAAGGCAGAATGTATCGATACGATAAACGATCGACCTCTGACCCTGGTAGTAAGTCCTTGTAACCGTTATATCCCGTAGTTACAGGGCTGTTTCGCCAGGAGCTGGCCTTCTCCCTGTCGTAGTATATCACAGTAATTAGTGGCCCCCATTCCATACAAAATGATCCCGTCCGGTTGGTACTTGAATTTGAGAGCAATGAACTACGATGTTTAAGTTTTTTTGGTCTTAAGATGTCTCGTAGAAAAAGAAATGAATAAACTTTCCGAATAAGGACAAAAGGCCAATTCACTCCTTTGGGGGTCACGGCCAACGTCATATTGACACTGTAAATACAAGTTTTGAAGTATGTAATGTTGTATTTCTAACAACATAGAATACCATCCTCCTGTTTTACAAAGTTCGAGCAAACAAGTCGCCAAATTATCTATGTATATTGCTGGCCGAGAACAGAGAAACAACAGATACAGTAAAGGATCTATTAACTCTCTCCCTCAACCCAAATGTCAGCAACAATATCTAACACATTTTATATTCATACACCGATGATACGAATATCAACTTCCCGTTCTGCAGGTTAATTTTTAGGTCAGTCACCTCAGACATGTATGTATTTACATCTATATTACCAATTTCAATCTTACATCGATGGCTTCATTGACGATGAAATCCTTGGTTAAGCAATGTGCCGACGATGCTATTGTTACGTGAACATTTACATGAAGATGATGCAGAAATGACTTGCGTTCACGGAACATCTGGTCTCTGTGTAAATAAGTTTTATCGAATTTCGTATGAATTAAGATCATATCGATGTTTTCTATGATGTTCGTTTCCTATTAACTTATCCAAATTTACTTATCAATATTCCAATTACTGTAAATCCCGAATACGATACAGATCCATGACTTGATTCGTGGTCTTTAGTACGACCAATGGTTCCTAGTCGAATATCTTCGAAAATATGTGTTTTTTTTTTGTCAAAATACAACATAAGAACGACATCATTTTCAAATCATTTATCTAATTTCTAAAAAGGAGAAATCCAGAAAAGGTGGTAAAATAGCCATCTAAAAGAACACCGTCATCATGGAAGTGTCCATTAACCTGAAGCCATATGTGGTCCCTTTCCTGGGCGGAAACAATCACCACGTTAGAACTTGACCCCCAATAAACAGTGTTGCCGTTAACAAGATTACCAATGCCAACTCCGTTTTTCACAAGCTGTAATTCAATGGATTTGTCATGGATTGACACGGCTGTAACAAAGAAAGCGTACACACCGGACACGGGGCACGTGAAATGTCCCGTTGAAGTGTCATAACCTGCACCTTCGTTAGTGAGGACGTTGGACATGATAATCGGTTGATTATCGAGGATATCGGAAATGCTTGATGAAAGCCGTGTATGGAAAGCAACACCAGTGGTGGGTACTGTCAAATATCAATTTGTAATAAATCATGATACATTTGCATTGATTATTATACTTTCTACAGTAATACATTTGTAACAACATACTTTTATATCGATATTTACCACATAGGCTGCGCTTTGAAAGACCAACAACGGACGTTCGAAAAAAATCGTGTTAGGCTATCAGTGTCAGACAGCAGAGCAACGTGACACGATCAAGGCATGTCCACATGGATTAGGTAAATAACTATATAGTCAGGTGAATTACCAACAGCTTCAGCTTCTCAAACTTTGTGCCCGTAATGCAAAGAGACTCCATGTAAAGAGATTATACAGAGCTGAAAACCATCCTGTGTACACCGTCTAGGACTCGCGCCCTGTTTGCCCTCTAGATTCGACAGACATACTGACTAATTTTCTGTCTGTATAAAGGTATGTGTCATGTAAATTTTGTCAATATGTGACATATAAGTTACCATTTAAATCCATCAACTTCAATTATAGTTCCCATTGGATCCCAAACGCACGTACTATATCAAAATTCTTAACTACTAAAAATCACAGGTCACCTTCGTAGACCTAATGATTAATTATAGAGGATTATAAAATCACATAAAATATTACAAGTGTGTTGGCATTTATCGAAGTTAGATATTGATTAGAAAATAAATAAGAAAATTACTTTGTAAAATAATACGATTAATATATTTGCAATGTTGCAATGTCTCAATGAGCACATTTTGTGTGTGCAAATTCTGGGTATATACATTGCTGACTAGTTCTGTGGTTTGTTTTGTAAAATAATAATGTTGTATCAGTGGAATATATTGTATGGGTCCTTCCAAACCGCCCACCTAGTCTGCTATGTATATTGTTGTATAATTACTTTCATATCATTATTTGGATAAGCTATTATGTACATGTAATGTCTCCATCTCTTCAGGTTTGATACCTTATTTACATGCGATTCTTCATTGACTTGTTTAATCTTGTTTTTTATTGTGTTTTCAATAACAACAATTTCAAATGTGTTGTACATGTTTACCTGAACATTTTATTCAATTTGTTTCACATTTCATGTTCAGGTAAATACTTACTCTCAATATGTCAATGATATTTCAGTGGTCAAAAGACAAGATATGGGATACAAAACTTGCATCACGTATTGTCTTTTATGATGTATTATGTTTTATCCTGAATAAACATATTTCTATATGCTTTTGCTTTCTTATTTTTAGATTAGTTGCTGGATGTCTTACTGATATGATAGTGTAAGGTCTAAATCTTTATTAAAACCACTGAATTTTGCTTGTCAGTAATCCGGTGATCTAGATATATCATAACATTAATTTATTATCAGCAATTTCCCTATTCTTGCTAATTTCGGCTCATACATCACATATCACAAAAACGTGATAGTCTTTGCAGAGACTTCAGATGGAATACATATGTAAACCTAGATATGCTATGCTCGATTGCTGTATCAGTATCAACATACATTACCAAGCAAAATAGTTTGTTGCAAATGGATGGAGCGGTTTCTAAATTAATTGGTGAACTAAATATATATATCACTTATGTTTGATCGTTACTAGTCACAACACTACAATCTTACAGCATTGTTTGTTAAAAACGCCAAATCCTGCGTCATGTACATGGAATTATCCATTGTTTTATATACCTTCATCATTCTTCCATAGCCTTTTTATAACTTGTCTTACGGTAGGAGTATCGTGATATTATCACAGCATTATTAAACTGACATGTAGTGATATTTTCTAGATGCACTGATTTTTTAAAAAACAAAATACCACCCCTTACTTCCACCCATCATTCCAAAATGGGCCTTTTTTATATAAAGTTGTACGATTTTGTCCTTGTGTGTCGATAATTGAATTTTGTATACAGCGGTTTTCAATTGGGAAATTTCATTTGCTGGATTTTTCAAAGAGTTATATAAAACATTCTATTTATCTAATTATCTTCAATAATTTTTTATCATAGCATATAGCCTTTCTCTGTACTTTTAAGCCTTTTGGTTTGTTTAATTATTGGAAGAGTACTCGCCCTTTGTGAATTTTAGAATTTCAAATATATTGGAAAGGGAGATAATTCGACAGTTATGAACAGATACAAATCTTATTGCATCCCAAGTGTCGACGTTTTTATGCAGCAATAGAAATATTTCGTTTTGCGTAAGAATGGATAAAGTTTTAATTGATTTTTCAAAAATAGTTACTCTTATGTTAATATTCTTCTTTTTTATGATGTTTAGGCAGTTAAATTTCAAAATATCACAAATTGGCATTATTTGTTGTTTATTTTTCAAACTTTCTCTTCTCTTTGTTAACCTATTTGATGGGTTTTTTTCGGTCGAGGGAGATAACTCAAACCAAAATTGTGAAACATGTTGTTCAAAGACATATTGTTTTTACTTCATGGTGATAATAAGTAATGCATGTCTATTGGTTTTTAGTAGAAAAAGTTAGTAAACAGAAATATTTGAAGTAAACTGAAATGCTAGGTGGTTTTGTAATAATTTCGTTTATCATATATGATATCAATTGTAAAAAGAGAGAGAGAGAGAGAGAGAGGAAGAGAGAGAGGAGCAGATAATGATTAACACCATAAAATATCACATAGTATCAGCAATTTGATAAGAAGACTATGTCTTATAACAAAAACAGCTCTAACATACATCAAGAGTACTACTGAAATTCAGCAACATGTCACGAGAAAAGAATGATATTGGCCTATCTGTATTACAATATGTATCATCTATATTTATTATCTCTCTGTCCTTTTAAAATGAGGATGGGTTTTTAAAAAGTTATTCATCGGAAAATTAGGACTGATCCTTAAGAACAAAGGAGAGTATATCATTGAAAAAATCCGGTCCCATTATGAATTTGACAGCCAATTTACTCCCTTATAACTAGTAAAGGTCTCCGACCTGACCTTAATTTCATGACACATCATAAGGGCTTAACCACAAGGTACTCATGCACAAATAATAAAACCTTTCAGTGATAGGCACCAGAAGCTTCTATTAGCAATTACTAACCACGCCGGAACATAAAATGTTTGAAACCAAAGTGATTATAGTAACTTTAACATTATGTTTTAAATCTCAGGGAAAATATGCTTCCAATGAAAGTATTCGTATTCGCGTTTGTAATGTCGAATTTTTCCTTTTAGAAAATTAAATAATCGAAGTGAGAAAGAACTTACCAATCACACAAGAAAGAAAAAAAAACATCTAGTATGTTTGCACTAACAGAGAAATAGTCAAAATGATATGACTTTGTTACCTACCCCTGACACGAAGGTCTTTGCTAATTTCTCTTTGGACTGCCAATAATGGATTTCTGTACCCCTCTTGATCCTGGGAAGACGGTTTAATATCTGACATATTATTCGGGTCTTTTGGTTCCAGATTAGCATTGAGTTCCACAGGGATGTGTGGCATTTGGTCAACATCAGTCGGTATACTTTTTGAAATGTTTGAAAGAGAAGATTTTTCTGGCCTGCTGCTGACGATGGGTTCTTGTAGATTGCTCTTTGGCATCGCTTTATCATAGTTTGAATTTTCCCTCTCCCTCTCCAGGGATCCTACAGTTGCGTCGATGTTTTCAATAACTTTCATAAAACCATGGGTTTCAATCTCGAGACGCAGAAACTGTTTTTGTATATCCTGATTTTCTTTCTTCAAGGTTTGGACATCTTGTCTCAAGTTTATATTCTCTGTCTGTAGTTGGTGGTTTTCATTCTTTAGAAGATGGTTGTCTGATTCCAGTGCACTAAGTCTTTTCTCAATATCTGTCAGTGTCTGCTGTCCGAAACCGTCTGTACCATATTCTATATTATCTTTCAGCACTGATCGATCCGCATGGCGATTTATATCGTATGCTGCGTGAACGTCGCTCAATTGAAACACAACAAGAAGTAAACAGATTATTGCCATCGCAATTGTAGCGACAGTGTTACCAAGTATGACAACCACAACAATGTTACTGAAATTCTTATCATGGCCACCTGTCCGATTCTCCTACTTTGTGATTACTATCTATGTAAGCTTGTAAGTAGCGGCGAAATATGTCCATCATAGCGATGAAATATTAATTTCGATTATCATTTCAAAAGAATTATCTTGATTGGCTTTCAATAAAGTTAATGTTGTTCTTTTAACTATTATGTATGGAATTGTCACGACAATACATAGAATATATCCATAATAATAAGATGGTAATATATTTGTTATTTACAAGTGTCGTTACCTTCATGTATGTGCTGCTTTATATGTATCTGTGATTGTATTTACACTGTAGTCAGCTTGCTTTGACTATGTAAATAGACCACGTGAAATCAGCATTATAATGGGATATAAGGGTTGTAAACAAAAAGACCAGCTAATGCTATAACGTCACTGGATAATAGTATCACCCGATTAACCCATGAACGAGTCATTGATTTACAGGAGGGCGTTCGTCTCATCATTCTCAACTCGAAACATATCCTATAGCAAGATTAATAATTCATGGGTTGTATTCCTGACAGATGATTGTATATAAAATGTGACATTAAGAAGTAACTAAAATTCTGAACTCTCGGCGTAAGTCTTTTGGTTGTATTTGCAGTGTTAATAAATTTTACTTAATGTGTGACAAAGTAGTCCTGAAAAATTAGGTAGTCAGAATTCTGTAACAGAACCAGTTTACGTCTGCATACGTGTATTTAGATCAGTGGCCACGTATTGACTGTACGAAGTAGCAGAGCAGTGGAGCGATAGCAATGTTATCTAGTCTAAGATAAGCAGGTGTGATTCACAGTGGCAAGGCTGTAGCTGTGATGTAAGTAGCTGTGACGAGAGAAGTTGTGATGTGAGTAGATAAGATGTGCGTAGTTGTTATGTGAATAGCGGTGATATGAGTAAATGTGATGTGAGTTGCTTTGCTGTGAGTACATGTGGTGTGAATAATTTTGAGTACCTGTGATGTGAATAGATATGATATGAGCAGATGTGAGAGGAGTAGTTGCAAGTAGATTTGGTGTGAGTAAATGTAATGTGAAAAGCTGTGAGTAGGTGTTATGTGAGTAGCTGTGATGTGAGTAGGTGTGAGTATTGTGATGTGAATAGCTGTGATTATAGTAGATGTGATGTGAGTAGCTGTGATTATAGTAGATGTGATGTGAGTAGGTGTCAGTATTGTGATGTGAGTAGCTGTGATTATAGTAGATGTGATGTGAGTAGCCGTGATTATAGTAGATGTGATGTGAGTAGCTGTGATTATAGTAGATGTGATGTGAGTAGGTGTCAGTATTGTGATGTGAGTAGCTGTGATTATAGTAGATGTGATGTGAGTAGCCGTGATTACAGTAGATGTGATGTGAGTAGGTGTGAGTATTGTGATGTGAATAGCTGTGATTATAGTAGATGTGATGTGAGTAGATATGATGTTAGTAGCTGTAATACGAGTAGATGTGATGTGAGTAGATATGATGTTAGTAGCTGTAATACGAGTAGATGTGATGTGAGTAGCCGTGATTACAGTAGATGTGATGTGAGTAGGTGTGAGTATTGTGATGTGAGTAGCTGTGATTATAGTAGATGTGATGTGAATAGCTGTGATTATAGTAGATGTGATGTGAGTAGATATGATGTTAGTAGCTGTAATACGAGTAGATGTGATGTGAGTAGAGTGCTTGTATCAGAGTTTCGTCTTCGTTGTAATTGCGTTGCAGCTAGTTGAATTGTTTATCAGCCTTTATGAATGTGTCCCCGTATGTTTCGGTGTTATACACGTGTATATATTGAAGTTTTATCATGGAGATGGTTGCTTAAGTGGTAGATTTGTTTTACATCCTTAGTCTTGGGAACGCAAAAAATGTACTGAGATAGAAAGCGTTTAACCCCAATATGATGAAATTAAGCGGAAGATAAAAGGGGTTTCGCACTAGGAAAAAAACGATCCTGTAGAAAAAAGACTATGTTGTTTGACAATCTTTGATTAAACTCACAAAACTTTTTAAAAATTCATGATCGTCAATATTGATATATTTCAAGATTTTTTTTTTCAATTGGAAGCAATGAATCAAGAAAGGTAGACCGATGAGTGAAAAGATCTTCTGTGTAATTTCTACTCGGAGAGGTTACTTTATGTATCTACAACTTCGCGTTTAACGTTGTCATTTATTCGTTTGTTTTGCATTGACTGCGTGACATATATATTGTACTGTAGTAGCTGTTTATTCCACTATTTATATAATGGTACCTAGCTTCCCATTTGGTTCTATTGAGTATGAAATAAGGAAAGCATGGATATGATAACAGATATAAGTTATGACCAACAGAGACACGTATATTTCAGTCGATCTTCTAAAATGAATGAAGATATCAAAATATCATTTCGTCTACATTTGTGAGTAGGGCCAATACAATTTGATGTCCCCTAAACGTCGAAATCATATAATTGTTTTGCGTCGTTTCAATTAGAATACCACAAATGATCATTTAAGATAGATATATCATATTCCTTGGTCCATATGGTCTAGTATGTTAAGTCTAAAAACATCGAGCCCATATTTTATCTATCATACCAGCATGTAACGATCGTTGATCCAATCAGATGAAGACAAAATCTTGACACATGTACAATGATTTTGTACTAGTACAGCCGGTAGTAAGGAGTAAATTGCGGAATAGACTTAATCACACTATGTTAAATGGTAAAACTATAGCGCATTAGGAGAACTTTTATAATAGCGTTGCCAATAAATATGATTTGAATTCCAAATTCACATTTTAGTTCTTTGTAAATGCATATATAATTGTAAAACCCAAATGAATGGAATGGTATACGTCTTTGCATGCAATTATTTATAACCATATATCACAATCCTGATATCGAACAATTAATAATAACAAAAAAATGTAATCTATCTCGTACATCATGCAGTGCATGAATTTCATATCAACACATTTAAGTATGATATAGTGTACTTTTAATTATGCATTAAAGTATTTAAAAATAATTATAGATCGTACGTTATTTTATCAAAATGCTTTATGGTAAGATTGGCTGTTATAAGCAAATAAATTCCCTTTAAACGTTCAGAGAATGACAAAGTCTATCGTACGGAGCACAGACGTCTTTAATGGATACACCAAAGATGATAATGTACATCACTTTCAGACACCGGCAACAGACACAGACTTAAGACCTTCATTTAAATACATGGTATGTAAAATATTTAAAGTTTGGGAGTAGTCATTATCTATCGATTAAAGGTACATTTTGTATAGTCAAAATCAGACAAGATTTTTCTTTCTTTTTTTTTTTTTTTTTTTTGTGTTTATAAAATAATGGAAATGGATTCTGTTAAAAATCAATAACTTTGTAACATAACGCACAGGGAAACATCGTTTAGAACGTACTCCCGATCCGATCCTGCAGGATTCAACAATCTAACACACAAGTAGCTGCTGTCCGAAAAATAATTTCCTTCTCATTTGGTTTTAATTAACATCAGATTTATTATCGGGAAACTAAGAGCGGACATATCCTTTGTTAACAAGATACGAAAAGTCTCAGATTTGTTCTTTCAGATATGTTTGAAATAATAAGTACCTGATGAATTAATACAAGACAAAGATACACTCTTATGACATATTTACGTGTTTATATCATAATGGTGTATAACACAATGTAACAGTAATTATGTTACATATTCAACTGGAAAACAACGTACAAGGGTCGAATGTTTAGATAATGTTAAAGAGCTAAGTACTTTATGAAGAGACAGATATTTGCTAATTGCATTGAATAGCTGTACAAATAAAACCGTACATGTTAACTGTGTTCAATAGCGACGGGACATAACGGTCTTATAACGGTTAATCTGAAGGAGAACTCGTTAGACATATACCATCATTAGAAAAGTATATAGAAATATACTAGAGAAGTCTTCACTTTGATACTGTTGGTGTCAGAAATGTCTCTGTTAATTTTATATAGAAAATCATTTATAAAATCTGAATAGTGCAACCGTTTCGAAAAGATGTATGCATGTGATAAGTATAGCGAGATGCTACCATATGTTAGCTTACAGTTCAGTAATATCTTTCCAGTGATATATTGATGATATCTAAAATACAACTTTCATTTCACTCTTCTCCTTTTGGGCCATCAAAATTTGCAAACAGCTCTCACAAAATCTAATGTGGCAAATAGCATATTGTATGCTTATGCGCTCATATGTTTCCTGGGAAGAGAGAGCTTATCATTGAAAAATCTCAGATTGGCCCAAATTTGCACTCTCCCTTCACATGTCATTTTTAGATGAAAAACCGATACCATTTGACAGAAATATATTTTCTACAAAATAAAAGATCAAGATGAAACCCTCGGGCATCTATGGCGCTCTTCAAATACTAGGAAAAGTGTTCCAATATCTGTTACCAAGGACAACCGTGTGATCCTTAAACCAGAAACAGTACTCCTGTGAGGGAAATAGTCTTATTCAGTCAACTTTTGAAATTTTTTGAAGATACCAAACTGCTTGTTCACTGTGATAAGAATTACCACCTGTACAAATATGTACCACCAACGTTGCTGTGATAAACAGAATTACAACAAATTGCGAATATATTAATGACGCAAGAATATATGTTTCATTTCTTTCAAGAACATTTTCCGTTCAAACAAAGTATTGTTTACAGAACATATGTTAAATGTTTTGATTATGAATACTCTGGTACCAGAAGAACAATCGATAACGAAATCAATCTCAAAATTTTCATTTGTTTCATTCATAATGAAATTCCGTAGGTACATTATAATGCATCTATGCTTGGTCACATTACACTGTTTTGTTTGCCTTGTTTCAGTCACGTTCGTTTGTTCCGGTTGATATAAAGCTATGCTCTCTTCAGACCTTATTCCTATTACGACCTCTAACATGCAA